GTATTATTATTTACATCTTTTTTTTTTTTTTTTTTTTTTTCGAGACAGCGTCTCGCTCTGTTGCCCAGGCTGGAGGGCAGTGGCACGATGTTGGATCACTGCAATCTCCGCCTCCTGGGTTCAAGCGATTCTCCTGCCTCAGCCTCCCAAGTAGCTGGGACTACAGGTGTGTGCTACCACACCCAGCTAACTTTTGTATTTTGAGTAGAGACAGGGTGTCACCATGTTGGCCAGGCTGGTCTCGAACTCCTGACTTCAAATGATCCACCTGCCTCAGCCTCCCAAAGTGCTGGGATTACAGGGGTGAGCCACTGCACCCAGCCTGAAATTTTTAAAATCATAATGAAATATATAGGTTAAAAGGAAACAAAGCCTACGACTGATCTTAAAAAAAGAAAAAGAAAATGCCAACAGTGCAATACTGTAGCACACACTTATTCTACTCCAATATTTATTCTGTCTTCCCAGTTTCTGGCCCAAGTTCTGCTGAAATAAGTATTAATATGTTTATATGACAAAGTTCTGGACAGTGAGATGAAAGGACTGCATGCAGCTGCTGCTAAGTGACCATAAAGGCACAAGGTATACCATTTCTCCAAGTTTCCACCTTCCTATAGACTGGTAAGTAAATGTGATGGTTAGAGCAAATACAGCTATTTGGGATAATGAGGTAGAAGCCAACTACTGAGAATGGCAGAGCAATGAAGGAGAAAGAGTTTGGTTCTTCTGCCCTTTAGAGCTATAGGACCAGCCCTGAACTTCAACATGACAGACAAATAAACTTGTCTTGTTTAAGCAAAGGTTATCTGGGCTTTCTATCACAGGTAGTCAAGTGTAATACAAACAGATTAATATGTTCATGCCAGATCTGGCCATCCTGTGGCAGCTATGAAGCTGTGCTGCTCAAATCCTCTTTCAGGGAATCCACTGAGAGAGGCCGAGTTGGCAGCCTCTAGCTGCTCCACTTTCGTGCTGATGCCACGATATGCCAACACTGCCTCCAGCCAAAGACTCAGCATAGTGAGGCTATTAAAGTCTGGACTATTACATCTGATATGGTTTTCCTCTAGTGGGAAAGCTTTTGTCAGCAGCTCCCCTTTGGCCTGGCTGAGACTTTCTCACAGCTTCAGGGTAGTCTGAGTTGGCAGAAAAAAAGGATTAGTAAACTTGAAGACAGATCAATAGAAATGATGCAATTAGAAGAAGAGACAGAAATAAGCATGAAGAAAAATGAATACAGGCTGGACACAGTGGCTCATGCCTGTAATCCCAGTGCTTTGGGTGGCCAAGGTGAGAGGATCACTTGAGACTAGGAGTTCAAGACCAGCCTCAGCAAGATGGTAAGACCCTATTTCTACCAAAAGAATTTCAAAAATTAGCCAGTTTGGTGGCACATGCCTATAGTCCTAGCCACTCAGGAGACTCAGGTGGGAGGACTGCTTTAGTCCAAGAGTTCAAGGATATAGTAAGCTATAATTATGTCACTGCACTTCAGCCTGGGTGACAGAGTGAGACCTTATCTCAAAAAAAGAAAAAAGAATATAG